CCAAGCTCCGGCTGTCTCGGTCTTGCCGCCGCGCCTGCTGGGATCCTCAGGGCCCCCGTCCCCTCCGGACGCCTCCTCCAGCTTCTACCCTTCTCCTGCGGGTGCCGGCGAGCACCTGGGGCCCCGGGGTCCCGGGGCCTCGAGCATCCTCGTGATGAGAGCAGTAGGGAAGCAACCTCAGGCGGAGACTTCGCGTCCCGGTCCTACAGCCCAGGTACCCCTATCAAAATTCCTGCCCTGCCCGAGGCGTCCTGCGGCTCTCAGAGCTTTGGGGCCGGGAGCGGGCGGCGCCCTTGACAACCTCCCCACTACACCCCGCCGGGTTAGGTGGGGACTCAGCCTCCGCCCGGCCCGCTAAACTGTCGAGGACAGAAACATCCCGGGTCCCCTCCCGCGCGCGGGCCAGGAGAAGGGCGTCTGCACTGCACCCCTGACGCCCCCGTTGGGTCCGTCAGCGCCGCTGAGCGCACCCGCTGCCGCAGGTTCTCGCAGGGCTCTGATCGAGGCCGAACTTCGCAGAAATCTGTCCCGGTGGTCTCGTTGTGCCTGGCGCTTGCGGGCGAAGCTCTTGGTTTGGATTCCGGCTGCGGAGTTGCAGCTTCTGCCACTTCTTTCTTCGCCGCTCACAGCCGCCCCTCGAAGCTCCTGGGGATGGTAGAGAGGAACTTCTGGAGTGGCCTTGTGAAAAGAAGAAAACATTACCGCGTGCCAGCCTCACTTGTAAGAATTTCGTTTCTTTCTCTTCAGGAGGTGGGTTAACGGGTCCCGGTAGCTCCAGGAGCTAGCGAGGGCTCCACACAGTGGTCTGTCAGTGGGTGCGTTGTGGCCTGCCGGCCCTGAGGAGGGCCCAACCGCACCCCAGTCCTTTGGACCAGGACCAGGTCGGCTTGTGGGTTGCAGGTTGGAACTAGGACCCTGGATTCGTTGTATAAAGGTCTCGCAGAGCCCTAGCTGGACTGTGATGGCCAACCACTCCTGTAGGGAGCTAACAGCACAGAGCTGAGGGAGGCCTGGTCCTTTGACCCACCCCCACCCCCCAGGGCTTAATTCTATGGTTATTCTAGTTTCTGGAGAGTGGGACTGAGACCAACGGAAGTGGGGGGGGGCAGGTCTAAAGAGTGTAGGGCAGGCACACCCAGGCCTCCCCTCCAGGCCTGCAGGTCTGGTCTCCATGACACCAGCTCTGATGCTCTTATTTCCGGGAGCTCCTGCCTGAGGAGGCAGGGAGACTGTACCTTGAATTTCTGTGCCTTTGATTTCAAGGTCAGACCTGTGGCCTGGGGGGAGGGCAGAAGAAGCTGCTCGGAGGACTCCCCTCAAACTATGGGTCACTTTTCCTTGTGTCCTCAAGCTGTCCTTGTGCTCCCCCCACCCCGATTTTAGGATAGCTGGGAGACTCTCCCTAGGGCCCAGGCCCAACAGTTACTGCTGGCCTCTTGGGTGGATCTGTGCCTTGGAGTCGGGTGTGGCCCTGCCAGGGCACTGCGGCACTTGGTCTCCTGCAGCATTTGCCTTAGGAGGGGCGAGGCTGCGCAGGGGAGGAGCCTGGACAGCCAGTTTAGAGCTGGAGGCTGGAAGGGGATTTGGCTTTGTAAGCTCTTTGCTGCTCTTCCTCCTGTCAAATTTCTAAGATGAGGAAAACGGAGGAGGATATCCACCCAGATGCCACAACAGTCTGAAGGAGCAGGCCTTCTATTCGAGGACTCTTCCTTTATCCCTTCCTGGGTAGGGGACAACAGGATCACCAAGTCCAGTCCTCTATCTTCAGGTCTCCAGCAGAGAGAGACCTCCAGATTGTAAAGCCCCTCTTTTCTCCTTTTCCAACACCCCACCCAGGAGGTTTCTCTGTGTGGATCCTCTTCCCAAGAAGTAGCATTATCTAGATTCTTTTTAAAATGCAGATTTCCGCTTGGGCTCATGGATCAGTGTTTCAAAGTCTCCTGGACTCTGTTGGGTTATACCTTAAGCCACGTCAGTAACTATTAGCCTCCACTTGACACACACCCATTGCTAATAACTCCACTGCTGGAAATGACCATTTTTTTCCTTTAGCAAAATTCGGAGAATTGTAGTGGGGGGAAACTGAGGCAGAAGGCCCCAGGGTATAACTTCCGCAGAGGCCACCTTATCAAGCTGTATTGGTCCCTGGGGAGGTGGGTGGGCAGGAGGAGGGTTGGAGCCAATGGTCCAGGAGGAGTCCTGGTCCGGCTAGCTTATAAGGCTTTGGTTTAGGCGCTGCCCTGAGGTTATGGGGAGAGTGCTCCTGTGATACCCGCACAAGTTTACCTTGAGTCTGGACTGGGGAACTTGCCCTTTGACCTTTCCTAGTGTTTTCCTGGCCATCCTGCTCCCTGGGATCCCGGGTGGCCTGGGGCAGGCTGAGACTGCAGTGGCTGCTGTGCAGAGTCCCTAGCCCTCCTGCCCAGGCACTGGCTCCCAGGAGGCACCCCCCTTCCCGAGGGTGCCCAGCACCAGGGGCCAATGCCTCCACAGTGACTTCTCTTGAGGCAGTGGCTTTGGCAACCACTGATGCAACCTTTCCCACCCTCCCTGGCCTCTGCCTTCCTCTGCAGTCCCCTCTGAGGCATCCAGAAGCTGCTCCCCTTGCCAGAGGGCAGGGTGGCACCGGCTGCCTCCTTGAGCTGCTTCTGCCCTGGTCCTGAGCCTGGGCCAGCAGTAGAGATGGTCAGCCTGCACAGTCCACAGACTGGTCTGCCTTGGGGTGCAAGTGGGCCACAGGTTCAGTTTAGCCCCGCTGTGGGGGCTGTTGTGCCACAGGGCCGGCTGGGGCCAGGAGTTTCTGAAGATAATGTGTCTGAGAGCTGGAGCTGCTGGTGTCTGGGCTCAGAGACCAGAAATGAGAGGCATCTTGGGTGTCCTTCTGGTCACTGCCCTTTGGGGCCAGGTAGGGCCTGGTGCAGTGGGTAGAGAGTAGGATCTGGCAGGTGCTTGCTCCTCAGGGCTGGACTGACCCAGCTCCATCCACAGCCTGGGTGAGGGTGGAGGGGTGCCAGCCTCTGGGGTTGATTAAAAAAAAAACCACTTTGACTTGGCCTCACTCCATCCTCGCAAATTCACATCAACCCTCTCCCCCACCCTTCTGGTCTCCTTGAAGGTCACTTTGGGTTGAAGGGGTGAACCCTGGTGATGGCTGTGGGTATAGGGTGGTGGCAGGGCCAGTGGGGCCAAGTGGTGGGGAGGCTGGGAGGCCTGGGGCTGGACCTTCCTCTTGGGGCTTCTGGGCACCGGATCCCGGAGCCGGGCGTTGAGGGCATCTGACCTCTCCACAGGGTCAGCAGGCTGCAGAGCGTAACTCCTGTTCTGTGTATGGCACTGGTAGAATTCACTGTGAACAGTCTCAGTCAGTGAATTACCGAAGGGCCATAAACAGAGCAGAGACAGATCCGCGAGTAGCTTGGAGTGCCTACCCCTTTCCACCCGGTGAAGCGCTTGGATGTCGGTTGTTTCCAGGGATGCAGGGATACAAGTCCTCACTCAGTGTGTCCCCAACTAGAGGGCTTGCGCCAGTCCCATCTGCTTGGCCAATTTTGGCACTAGCACATTTTTGCTTGTGTCTCTCCGCTCTGAGCAATCATGTGCAGTGCCAATATGGGAAAAGCGGGATGCTGCAGCGGCGTGTGGGGATCCCCTTCCCCCCAACCCTGTGTCTGGCCCTGCCTACTCCTTGCCGCCTTCCTAGCCCATCTGGCTGAGCTGCAGGGTGAGAGCTCAGCCCCAGCCCCATGGGCAGCCAGATCACCTTACACTGCCTGGGGGCGCGCAGAGCAGCAGCAGGGCAATCTGAGCTGGGCCAGCAGATGGAGCCAAGCAGGCTGGGGGTGGGGCGGGGCGGGGTCGCCATCTGTAGGGCCACCCTGAGTTACTCCACCACTGGCGGGGTGAGGCCCTGTCACCTCCGGCACACTCTTGGGATGAGACCTCAGCCAGGAGCGTAGAACCTGGCCTTCTGCTGCAGGTTCTGAGGGGGACAGCTCCAGGCAGTAAGGGTGTCCTTGGGGTCAGCATGGGTGTTTTATGGGGCCTGCCACAGGGTAGGGGTCATCTCTGGACAGCTCTGACAGACAGGAGGCGTTTGGTGGGTTTTCTGGAGAAGGGGCTGGGGGCAGGGGCTGAGGTTCCCTTTCACTTGGGTCCCTGGATCCTGGCTGTGACTTACTGAACCCAAGCTAACAGTACATAGGAAATCTCATGCGTCCCCACCCAACCCTATGGGGAGTGCAAATTTTTAGCATCATCATGTAGATGGGGAAACCAAAGAGGAGAGCCTGGCTGAAGAGGTAGAAGCACAGGGCTAAGGTATCTTTGGTCTGGGCTG